TATTTATATATTTATATATATATATATTTATTTATATATATATATTTATATATGTATGTATATAAGACTTAGGGAGCTACTTGTTAGATAAGACTTAGTCATATGAATTACAAATAAAATTCATCAAATAATAAAAATAATAATTATAATAATTATTTAGCATTAATTAACATAAATAAAAACTCATATGATAACTATATTCATGATAAATCATAAATTATACTTTATATGAAAACTAAATATTATTTTATAATTTCAAACAAATACATATGAATAATCAAATAAATATCTAACAACAATAATTAAAATTTTATTTATCACACAAAGTTTTATCAATATGTTATATGAGAAAATTATTAAAGAAAATCATAATTTATTTTTTTTTGAAAATTTTGTACAACACTCTTATATCAGTTATCTTTATTTAATTGGGTAAGTCCAAAATTGAGCTACCCAAATTGGACTCATAGATTTAGGCTAATCAGGTAAATATTAAACATAAAAAAAAATTTAAAGACAATTTTATATTGTAGTTAAAAGGAATACAATTGAAGACTCAATTATATTTTCTACTCTTATTAGGAACGATGAATACTTGATTACGTATAGAAACAATCATAACTATAAATTAATTAATTAGTCTTTTCTAACTATTGCAATATGTGGGAACATTCCATCTAATCCATGTTTAACAAAATCACCTATCAATAGGTTTCATGACCTCACAACGTCCATTCCACTCAACTGTCATAATACCTATCAATGTAAAAAAAAAAAAAGCAATTAATTGCGGAGATAACATACATATAATTAGGCTCAAAACCAACGTTACTTGAGATATAGCAAAATAGCACTTATCATGAATCCATATTCCAGCAACAAAATGAGACTAAAATTGAATCAGAAACTAAGACAAATCTAATGATTTCCTTGGCTGTTTTTATCACCATATTCACCATGGACTTTGATAATGCAAGATTTTGTATCTAATATGATCATTGGGTGTCAATAGCTTATGTTCCCAGCAGAATTGAAATGATGTCTCCAATGCAGAGTATTCAGCTCATATTTTTTTCTCACGATTCTTTGAAAATATACAAAGAACTAGATAACAGTTTGTTTTTACAATATGCAGATTGAGAAAAGAATGAGATCAGGATCCATCAAATCCTAGATTGATCTAAATTTCAAAACTTCCAAACACAAGATTCTCTCAACTGGATGACTTGGGAATTTTGAACTGCTTTTTCAGGAACTGAGAGGCCTCAGAATCACTTCGATGACATAAAATCCTTAGAAGAGTTTTTGAATCAGCTCCAAATTTGCTTCTGCCTCCTTGACTGACATCTTTCAAGTCGTCGATCAGAACACGTGTCTGTGAAGATATCATAAACCTTGTTAGAAAAATAGAAAAGAAAAGAATGATAAATAGAACAAAAAAAAAATCAAATTAAATACTCAAACCATTATTTAGAATAGTTGGAGCAAAACTCATCTGCTCAAAGCTATATTACAGGCTCATCTATTGAATGATTATTCCTGCAAGTAGGTCTACATGTGAATTTCTCCCTCTGCTTTTCCCCAAAAACTATTACTGTTAATGATAGGATAGTCTACCAAAAACTCGAATCCAGCATTTTGATTGTAACCTCACATTTGTCTGGTGTGGCATTTCAAATTCCAAGTGATTTGGGCAAGAAATATGAATGCTGCCTGTCATGAGCATGCACAAGGAAAATATAACTATGAAGATATTAATTTCATTTTAGATCTTTTGCATAACATTCATATGATAGTTATTTACTACAGTATAATCAATATTAATTTATAATAAATATATCACACTACTTACTAGTAAATTATTTCACTATTACTTTCCACTATTATCTTTTACACAAATTTACCTATCATATTTTTTTGTACATATTTCATAATCAATATCAATTTATAAGAAATATATCATACGAATTATTAATTATTATTTAACTATTCTTTTCCACTATTATCTTCTATACTAATTTACCTATCATATTTTTCTTACATATTTGTTTTGAAAAGTTAGATATCTTACATAAAATTTATTTAATATTTTTCCAGCATTTAGCTATTTCTATTATTTTTTATTTTGCAATGCTCTCTCAATCATTCCCCAACATCATCCAATTAATTAGATCCAACCAAGCCTGCCAATCTTATCATGCTGCCTAGTCTATGGATCTTGCAAGGATGATCCATTGCATAATGTGCCGTTAATGTGGGACCTATGATATTGTTATAAGGGCTAAAATATCATTCCGGTCGAGTAGTATTTCATGTGTATTACAAATGACAAAGTCGAATGCTTTCGGCTGTAGCCAAAAGTTGTGGGGTTTGACTTGTTACAACATTTATAAGGTACAAGTAGGGAAAGAAAGCCAAGAGAGGATGATATTATATGCACAAGCTATATCTATAGTAGGATAGCATATGTGCAATGATGTTTTTAAATTAAAAACACCTATCTTATAACTGGTATTTCTCGGTGTTTCTGCTTTAGACTTGTCGAGTTATGTTACAGTTATTTTATTTTTCTTGCTATCCTAATATGATAGTGAAACAAGATACAATACCTCATAGCTAAGCAAAGTTATTACAGGTCGAACACGTGCCACTAGATTTTCGACAGTCCCTCGAGGCAACCCATCTCCACCAGATATGAAAAATTCCTGCATATCACAAAGTATCAAATTGCATAACATTCTCGTCTTGAAGTCAATTGCTACTATATTTCCATTGTAAGTAGGAAGAGGTTCATGCAAAAGGTTCACAAAGTAAAACAAGTTGCAAATCAGTAACAAAAGTCTTTTTTGGCATAAAGAATGAGAATATAAGTACATTCAAGAACATCAGAAGTTTGAAGTTAAGCTTCACGAAATAATATCAGTTTTACCAAGTTAAAACTAATTACAAACCATAGGAGACACACTGAATATATCAAGCATAATATATATTGATTCTCAGAAGCTTATTCAGAAAAGATGAGGCAAATTTCTACCTTTAAGATTTCAAGATCATCTTCAATAAACTTAGCATCACTAGATAAGAAAATACGTGAAGGACCTCCATCAAGTATTACCCGCAATAAGCCATCCTACACCAAGAAAACTAGAATATAAAAACCACTCTAGCATTAAGGTAATCTCCAAATTAGTATGTATGAAGTACCAATGATGCTTGGAGGAGCCCAGTGACAATGCGATCCCTGAGTGGTTCAACAATCACATCACAAAGCTGATTCAAAACCTGCAAAACCCAACAGTGACATCAACAGTATCAAAACTTGCACAGGCTCAATAGCAAAACAAGGAACAAAATAAAGACCAGATTATATACATGATGTTAATGAGAGATGGAAAATTAAGAACACTGGGGACTTTTAAGAAGGATTCATAGTAACTACATAAACGAGCACATAATATAAGGTACTGTGTCGATTGAAGTTACAAAGTTGGTACTCTATCTGGATCATTCAAAAGGTTTGATGCCATCAAAAAGGTGTACCTCCTAGACAACAGATGAATCACTTAAAGCTAAATTCTGTCAGCAATCAGAAGATGTTGACTCACAAGTATATCTTTTAAGTGTTCCCCTACTCATTCCTCTTGTTAATATAATGTGAATGTCCATGTTTCTGAAAAATCTACATTCTTACATTATTGTTTTTATCTTTTGATGCAAAGCTATCAACTTATTTAATTAAGGTTATGAATCAAGGAGTACAAAATGGAAAGAGGCAAACAAAAGGAAATGTTATAAGTAGGATATGCATCCTGTAGACAAAAACCCACACTTCCATGAAAAAGGAATCTCCATTACAAATTTTTTAACTGTTCCAAAGTTCTGTAGCAGACATTCTGCTTCAAGATTTCCTTTCAGATGATCATGCTGTTCCTAGCCTCCCATATCTTTCAGAATATGCAGGCAATAAGGGCATCCCATGCAAACCTGCAGTTTGCTACAATCCATTTTCGTCAAGCGGCTCAAAGACTTTAGGCTGATGCAATGAGTATCAATGCTTAACACAAAGCCTCCCTCCCTCCAGATTTGCATAGAGATTTTTGAAGCCATTGGGGCCTATAAAAACCCCACCCTTTCCTGCATGAAAGGGCACAAAAGCATCGAGATATTCTTAAGTTATTGGGGTGTACATGTGTTGTAAACAAGTGCTAGAGTTCTCCTCCCTTTCTAAATTTTGAGATCATTCAAGAGAGGTGTGAGACTTGTAAGTGTCCTCTCCTAAGCCTGTGAAAAGGAGAAAGCGCTGTAAAAGGTCGACAACTGAAGAGACTATGAACAACAGCTCCATCTGGATGTCCACGCCAGTCACAAACTGCATCTAGTTCTCACTCATTTTTGAGGACATGAAACAGAGCAAATTACCTTTGATGGCCAGCCACATCAAGTGTTACACTCTGTTTGGTGTTGGGCTTTTCCATAGGCTTTCCAACTGGCATATTCCCCCATAGTTCCATAATCTGTAAAAGAATGCTCTCGGAGAGGAATCTATTATCACCCAATTCCACCTAGTGTGTCCCTCAACTAATGCAAAAGCATTTACTTTTTCTTAGATAGTTTGCAATTAAATTTAAAACCCATAGTGACATTACCATGTGTACATTAAGGTTAAATGGTTAAATTCCCTTGTGGCCAGTTTTGAGAAAACTTCATTAGGTTGCCATCAGGCCTCCACTTATGGATCCCTGTTTATGTGTTTGGTCCATGTCTTCTTTTTTTGGCATCGGAATTAGTGTAGCATATAGGTGAAAGCTAACATTTACAATAAATACACACAAAAAACTCATGTATCTACCAGTGGAAACTAGGTGTTTTGTAACCTAGAAATAGGCCACACCAATACAACATGCCATTCCTTGGTTCTGCACTCATTGAAGATGACAAGCTTCAAGAATATTGATCTACTAGCAATTTTTTTATGGAATAAGTTGTCAACAAGGCTAAATTTTGCACTGCAGTTCCCATTCTGAAAGACAATATCGAGTAAGTAATAGTATGACTCTAATTCAAAAGATGGAGGTATGAGACTAAAACAACAAATAGTCTTGTGCAAATTATTCAACACGAACTATCTGATCATAGTTTTTTTGTTTTTTAAGAAAGATTCGATCAAACATGACTTGTACCAATTGTAATTGCACTTTCTCAAACTTATTTCTTCTCAACTGCCTAACAGTTCCTGAATTACCCACAAATGGATAACTTACCACATCAAAAGCATCAATAAGTACCTCCAGCCTGGCCTGAGGAACATTATGCTTATATAAATTTTCAATAAATGGCTCCCTCAAATCCCAAAAAATGATTTTTGTTCCTGAAGAAAGCATATAAGTACAGTCAACAATCTATTATTAGAAATCTTTAAATTTAAGGGCAGATCTAATAACATGAAATCTTACCTGAAAATTCACATATCCTGTCGATAGCTGCATTGATGTCTTTTCTACTTCCATCAAATGCATTCTTCTGGTTCACCTTAAAGCTTATAGATTTCTCATTCATTGATCGTCCTGGATAAAAATTGAGAATATAATGCACTTAGTTATCTTTTCTTGCAAAATTCCCATTATCCTGAATTGTTTGCAATTGCAGTTTGTAAACTACAGATATAAATTTACAACACAACAGACTCATCCCTTGTCTGATTCACAAGTAGTCATTCCATTATGGTCAATACATTGATTACAGGAAAGTTCGAAATCAAAGCAAATCCACTCACTAGTAATTAATTAGTGTGTAACCTTGTAAATTAAAGAAAAGGCAACAAATAGCTACCACAACTAGTAGAATTAATAGCCGACCATCTCAAAGCATGCAAGTTTCATGACCCGTGTTGACTGAAGTATTTTTATTATGTCAACCAAACATTTGGAACCCAATTGTTGATACATTTGTTTGGAGTTTCAGATACCGGATTCCTATCACAGAAGCAACTCTCTTTTGCTGCCTTTTTTTAGTGAAGATTTAAAGGATATAGATTTTGAGGCATCCAGATTAGACTAATTACTGTAGAATACTGTGCTTAGATTTAAAAGCTAGGTCTATCTACATGGGGAGAGACATCCAAAGTGAAGAGAGAGAGAGAGAGAGGGTGGACTACTACTACTACAACATTTAAAATGAAGCGATATTTGCTAGTATTCTTTTGAGTGCAAATTAAAGTGCAGAGAGATATTTTTTGCTCGAGACCAAATCACCAAGGTGTAACTGATCGCTGTTTGACATTGTGCCAAAATTTAAAAGCTAAGTCCATCTGCATTGTGATATTTGGAGAGAGCTGTGCACAGCGGATTGGTACCCATCTACTGGCATGCTTACTGGAGGGTATGCCCAATATGACAACTGTATCAAGTGTTACACCCAGTATTGAACCAGACCAAGCAAAACTGCTCAGTCCACATACTGATAGCTCATCAGATCAGTAAATTTTGGTCCATACCAACCGATATGGTCAAAAGTAAAGTGCTTGTGCACAATACATAATTTAAACCAGGTCAGAATGCTCCAATTCTCTAAATTCCAACTTGAGACCAGAGTAGAATAAAAGGTAGGATTTTTTCTACTAAATCACTACATCACTAAATGTTCAATGTAACACTACTCAAAACTTCGCTCCAAGTCAGGTCAAACCAGCAATGGTTTCTGTAGACCTGGCCAGATTGTAGCCACTAGCCATAGAACCTGGAAAATACTGCTTCCTTCAGATGAAAGAGGAAAGATAATTTTGTGATCTCCATTGTTTCATCAACCACACCGTATTTAACTTGAGCTTAGAGGTTATAGTTGAAGTGAGGAAACATGAAGTGCTTAAGGGGAATGTCCTTACAGGAAACTGGATACACTACAACATATAAACTCTACAAATATGAAGGAGCCACATCAGCTGAAGCTTCCTACCTTCTTTACCCAAGAGATTGAAGCACATTCTTCAGATTTTCCTTTTCATTGGTACTAGAGGCAATGAATACAATTTTCGTTCCTGAGACCCACGCCAGATCCATGGCCAGAGGTACTGGTCTGGTCCATTTCAGCGTACCATGTTTCCAGTATGCCAGGACATACCATGGTATCTTTGGGGGAGGGAGAGGAGGGGTGGAAGAAGCAAGAGGAAGAAGGTAAAAAAGGAAACGGAATATTTTCAGAAAAAGGAGGGGGGAGAAAGAAGAAGGAAGAAGGAAGAAGGAAGAAGGAAAAAAAAGGAAGAGAGGGCAGCAGAGGAGATGTACCTGGTGGCAGGCAGCGATGGGTGAAGTCAATCACAAGCCGAGCACTAGTATAATATACTGAACCAGATCGGATCATCTGGTTTGGGTTGCTCGGCCTACCGGTCGAAGGTCAGACCGATAAATACTGGCCAAACCATACCGAACCAGTCAGTTTGGCAATCCTTGAGTAGATTACAATGCAATGAAAAAATTCCAAAAACGATTGTAGCCATTGCTTGAATGTAAATATTTTGATCCATTGCTTGAATGTAAATATTTTGATCCATTTGTCAAATATGAAAACCTATGCATACTTGAAGGTTAGTCACATTGATTACCAGGAAATTTCCCTGGATAATGTGCACATTCAACCTGGAAATGATCAAAGAAAATCTAGCTATTGTCTAACTCCAACTACAACATGCAACTCAAAATTTTTCATTCCTCCAACCCCGTTACGAGAAACCCAGCAGCAGAACCTTCTCCTTAAACTGAGGTATTAAAATTTGTCCCAAACCGTTATGTATCAAGTGGTACTGACCAGTGCAGGCATGAATTGGCATGCAGAACACTCCTCAGACTATTAATGTCTGGTTCAATGGTTACCACCTTGTAGACTTCCTGAACTGGGCTTACCATCTTGTTTTTATCTGTTACAGGCCCTAAAGTGAGCAATAAGCCCATTGCCTGGTCCAAAGACACCAAGAGACTCAGTTTCTCTTTGAGATCCTCAAAGAGGACTAGACAATCCTCTACCTGCCTTCTTCTCACTCTACTTTCTCTTAAATCTCTATTAATTTATAGTGGACCTAGATGATCATTTTGGTAATACGAATAAGTATCTGATTATATTTACATCAAATCTATTATGCTTAAAATTTGTTTGTGTATACATGTATTCTTTAGATACAACTTCTGATCCTTGTTTCATACATGTTTCAATTCATTATTTATTTTTTTTAAATTAAAACCACTTAAATTTTATGAATCTTAACTTGAATTAGAAAGGAAGGAAACAATCCTAAAACATGGTTCTTTTAGATTCCAACTGGTTTAGACCAACTGAAACTCATGTCCTATGGCAGTATGTATCAAGACACTGCCTCAGTATGCTGCTATAAGCCAGACCCTATACTAGTCCGCCAATGGACCACTATGGTTCTGACAGATGAGAATTTTAACCTTGCTGCAAACAACTTTTGTGGCTATTTTTCCAAAATATAGTGCTCCTAGACCTATGCTACCTTCTCATAGGCCCCTTTCATGTCTAAATAATGTGTGATTAATAATACACATCCTTTGAAAAAAAATTTAAAAAATTAACCCCATTTAGTCAAAACAATTTGTAAAGCAAACAATCAATAATAACATTTGATAAATCATATCCTTTAAAGCGAAGGTCATTTAATATTAGTTTAGAATATTAGCAAGAAAAAAATGATAATGCCTTAACCTCCATCACCCATAGCATAAACTGCCATGCTTTTCTAATAAATAGTTCAGGACATGTCCCAAGTGTAGTAAGTTTTATGAAAAGGATGGCATAAAGAATAACAAGTACAGATGCTTACTTATGATAAAATTCTCTGGCTTCTTCCTCGTCCACCGCTCTTGAATGCTGTCTTCCAATTTATTTAATTGAGTAATCGCATACTGTTTATGGTGCAAAGTCCCTTATAAGTAACAAATTGCAACCATGTAAAATCATAGAAAGAATACCAGAAGTATATCAGAGATGATATACAGCAGAAAAGGTCAACAGATTTACCTTTGTTTACCTCACCAAAAAAAATAAAAAAACTCACAAGGGGACTGATCTACTTTCAACCCAGTACACTTAAAATGCCATATTGCAACAATTTAGAACCATCTCAAGTGCATTATAAGTTTCTAATAGATGATAATTTAGAAAAACGACTGGAAAACTTCGTAAAAATGTCAAGAATATAAATTTTGTACATACCAACACAAAATGTTTTTCCAAATCCATATGAAACATTCTGCCCATTCTAAATTTGACCTTCAATGGCCTTTAAATTTCAATATGCATAAGATAGCAAGTACTTTGTGGAAGGAAAAAAGTGCATTAAGAACCCATGGGCACTACTGCACAAGATTGGTCAAAGTTTTCATCCTGGACTCAACCAAGAAACACCAAAGGCTAATGATCCTGAGATAAATCAACAATTCTCAGCACCTGATATTACAACTAATTAAATTTAAGCATGGAATGTATTACCCTAAACACCTGCCCACAACCATGGGAGTTTAAGCCAAGGCAATCCCCAGGAAATGGAGAGGTATAGGATTTAGATTCACATGGACTAAAACCCGTGTTATAAACCATGCACTATATGTAATGCTTAGATGTGTGTGCATAGTAGTACAATCGACACATAAATGACACCTCACTGGTAAGAATCGTGATGCATCATCAAATCCCAAGGTATGATCATTGAACAATTTAATTTTGAACAATTAAAACTATTAAATAACTGAGAATGAAGTGTCTCTAATTCCATGGACTAAATCCAAGAGGATATACGGAGAAAGATGACTTTTTTTGCAAGAAATCTGCATTTTAATTTTAACACAATGGTATACACTACAGCAGGCACTATGATTAGTATACGAGTTCAAAACTTAAATCTTCTTTTATGTTGATTGTACTAGTTAACTGCATGAGTTCAGGCATGCAAAATATAAATACCTTCAACTTAAAGAGTATAAAAAATGAAGTAATTAATATAATGACTGAAGTGAAGAACCAAGGTTGGCAACTACAGGTGACATTCAAAGTCCAAGTAGACTAGCACAGGTATCATTAAATCAACTTCAGCATCATGAAAAGAAACAACAGTAGAAAATGAAATATAAAAAGCAATGCAAGAACAACATATTGAAAGTTAATAGACATGATAGTATTGGCATTATTGCTCAACTTAACAAAATAAACTTTAATTCTAAAGCTTAGATACAAGGATAAGAAAGGTACTCACATGTAGTGTATTCAATCGTACACAGAGTTTTATGGTTGTAAGTGAGTTAATCTGATATGATTTCTTCTCATCAATCAATCTAATTTCTGTTACTTCTTTTTTTACAAAAGCCTTAATTCCAGTTTCCTTCCTGTATCGTGTGAGAACAGGCTCAGGTGGTATCAGATCCTCTTTATTAACTGCAGGAGCCATAGACATGAAGTTACAGTATACAAAAGGTAAACCAAGGAATTAGTAACTTAACTTGAAATCAACTTAAGTGATACAAGCAAAGATAGTTTCCACATATGACCTACCATGAACTGGTATTTCTTAATTTTCTAGAATAGCTGTTACATAATATATTAACAAAAAAAAGGAAAACACGAACGTACCACCTGCTATGTACCAAGAAGTAGGGAAATCTAACAACAGTGCTATATGCAATATGGAAGAAAATGCAGGAAAATGCAAATTCAATCTTCTAATATAAACAATCAAAAGAAAAAAAAAAGATAAAATTCACACAAGCAGATTGAAATAAAGTAGCATTAATTCTAAACAGATGACAACCTTAAATACAGATATTAAACATCCCGAGTTTCAAATGAATGTCAGCAATCAAAGCAAGAAGATTAAGATAAATAGTTTAAAACAAAACAAAACCAAAATTTTCTAAAGATATTAGTCTTCACCAAGGATATCGATCTCGGGTAGCAAACCCCCACCAGTCCTCCTGACTGACTTATTTAGGAGATTATTCTATCAGTTTTTACTATCATGGCTTTAGCATGAAATGAGATATTGACAACGAGCAGTTTACTAATGATCTGCTGCAAGAACAACATTATGTTCTAAAACAATATCCATACAGTTCCATGTGGAAAAAAAAAATGAAAAGTTTCACTGACATCTTAGTGTAATACTAAAAAACCAGCATGATTGCTTACAACCTGTTTGATTGATAAAATTGATAAAAGTGGTAGAAGAGAAGGGAAAAGAAAGTCGGGAGAGAACAGAAACCAACTAAGATATATTTTCTTGCTCTCTTAAAACCTACTGTTATTAATTCTGTTCGTTATGTGAAAGCAGCACACACACCTTTGCTAATTTCTATTCAGGAACCATGATTGAGAAGGCCATATTTAAAAACAAAGAAGAAAGTCATTTCTTGGGTATCATATTAAATTCACTCTTCTATAGTCACGTAGGTAAAATAGTAGCAAAGCCATGGAAGCATAGGTACTAGCATACTCATCTTGGATTTAAAGTCTTGTTCTGGTGCAGACACCTGACAGACAAATCTGCATAACACTGGTTTGGGTCAGCATACTGACACTAAAGATTGGACAACACCATCCAGACTAGAGGGAAAGAGAAAGGAGGTATGCATACTGACACTACAGATTGGACAGTACCATCCAGACTAGAGGGAAAGAGAAAGGAGGTATGCATACTGACACTACAGATTGGACAGTACCATCCAGACTAGAGGGAAAGAGAAAGGAAGTACGGAATGGGCAGTATTTACCAATTACCTGTACACAGACCAGTACTGAGCGGTTCAGAGCCTGTGCCACACAGTACACCTGGTACAAGGCTGGTACTCATCGGTATAGGACCAGCACTGATCAATACAGGGCAACACAGGGTCCAAGCTGAGCAATTTATTTATTTTTTTACAAACTTTTTTTTTCAAAACTTGGTATGTACCAACATACCAACTCTCAGTACGAACAGATAGGGTGCTGATCCGAAACTTGACCGTTACGACACCAGTACACCAAATTGTGACCCTTGGTGATGACATAGACAAGGAGTCATAGGAGAAGAGAAGGAAGCAATAGCGGCAAAGATGCAGATGAGGAGGTGACACTGATGCAGATGATGTGGCAGCAACATGGACCAAGAGGCAGCACTGATGGTAACACATGAGGAGCTTGTGAAGGAGTCATAGGAGTCTAATAAAGGAGCAGACAGAGAAGGAGGAGGCAACAAAGGAAAAAGATAGATAGAGAACTATCAAAATAGACAACTTTATTAAAAACAATAATCATAAAGAAGGGACCCAACACTGAAATAGAACGGGTAGGTTTATTTCATAGTAAGAGATCAGAAGTACTGCTCAGTAAGCCTAATATGGTAAGCTCATCAGGCGATAAGCTCATTTTCATATTAGACTAGGCCACGTGATAGACATACCACTTGATACAACTTAGTTCAATCAGCTCACCCTGACACGGGAGTGCCTAATTTGCTACAACAAGCTCGTCTAAATCTTGCTGATCCTATGGTATTCTCTACAACCGACAATGCTTGTTCCATAGCCTTTAATCCAGACCTCTCAAATGTGACAGCCCATAAGCCAAATGAGTTACAAGCCCATTTTCCAAACCTGCTAAAGAGTTAAGGGACGTGCTTTTATAAGTTGAAAAAAACTCATACTCTTAACTTTCTAGCTGTTTCATTAATAGATGGTCTGGTGAGCAGATTTAAAGAGATAGTTAATTCAACTTATCTTCATGACTAAGGAATGCATTAAAAGGCTTAGATATCAATAGTAAAGCAATAAATTTCATAGTTCCCTAC